CAGGCACAGACAGCCCCACGCAGGCTGCAAGCGGCTGCAGTGCGGGACACTGGGCATGGGGCAGGCAAAGGGCCGCTTTTCCCTGTGTTCAGCACCACCTTGTAACCCAGACCTGCTGCTAGCCTGGGCCCTGCACTGGCTCCAGGCTCGCCCACTGGGGCTGCGTGTAGCGACAGCAGCTGTGGCCCCCCCACTTGCCGCACTGGGCAGTGTTTGCCACTGCTGCCTCTGTGCAGCCCAGTGTGCGAGCTCCAGGCAGGCAGCAGCAGCCAACACTGCCCGGCATGGCAAATGGGGGGGTCCACAGCTGCTGCACACAGCTCTGATGGGCGAGCCTGGAGCCAGCATGGGGTACAGGGGCTGGGTTACAAGCTGGTGCTGAGCGTAGGGAAAAGTGGCCCCTCACCCGCCTTGTGGCTGGCGCCCCATGCTGCACCCACTCGCAGCCCACATGGGGCTGCCTGTGCCTGCTCCAGACAGCCCCGCATAGCCGGTAAGCGGCTGCAGCAGGGAGCGCTGGCCATGGGGCGGGTGAGGGGCCACTTTTTCCCCGCACTCAGCACCAGTTTCTTCCCTGCTGGCACGCAGGGGGTCAGGGCTGTGCTGCCCTCCGCCTGTACCGCAGGGGTGGGAGGCACTGGGAGTGAGTGGGCGGGGAGCCAGCAGAAGCACAGGGCCTGCACTGGTGACCCGGGGCCCGCGCTGGTGGGGCCCAGAGCAGGATGGCAGGAGTACAGGGGTCCCGGCCGACAGGGGCTCTATGGAGCTGGGCCAGCTCCCCCCTGTCCCTGCTGGTGCAGCCCAGCCTGGCTCCACAGACCCCTGCTACCCTGTGCCCTGCTTTGGGCCCCACTAGTGCTGGCCCTGGGACACTGGTCCCAAGATGGTGACCAGGGGCGGGGCTCCTGTCAAGGGGCAGAGCTACCCGTGCGGCCCTCAACAGCCTGCTGAAACTGGGTAAGCGGCCCTCCACCCGAAATAATTGCCTGCCTCTGATCTAGAGGCCCAGGTGACGTGCAGCACATGCTGTCGCAAAGACACTGCTAGCAGCACTGAAAGCTAGTCTGGGTTTATCTTAACACACTTCAATCATAGCACTGGATTTTAGAAGAGAGATACCCTCAAGAAGGGGAGGGCTTAGTAACTTTTCTTTTTAAAAGGAAAAACCTGAGATTTGGTCCAATTGGGCTTCTATGTAATTGGAGATTTTATTTATTTATTTATTTTTAGTGGGGATACATTGATTTCCACTCTCAAGAAGAAAAAAGTATGAGAGGTCTCAATTGCAGAGATGGGCTAAAGAAAACAACTCTCATTCCGGAGTTCTCCTTAAAAGGAGACTTTAGCTGAAAACTGGAAAGTTTGGGAGGAGTCTTTAAAAAAAGGAAGACTAAACAAAGAAAAGATCTTTCCTTTCCCATGAAGGGCTGGCTCCAGTGCTGTGAACCAGAATGGAGGAGCCCAGTGGATAAGACTGTCAGCACAAGATTTTTATCTGCCTATGCCATTTAAGCTATTTACTGCTCACAGACACTTGATATGCCAAAAGTAAGTTCTCTGTGCTCTCGACTACCATCACGTTGGATTTCAGTGACCCTCCAGCTAGCAATTCTTAAGGCAAGGCTAACTTAACTCTCTCCCAATCTGACTGCCTCTTCTGGGAAATCTCACTGCCAGGATTGAGACTCCACAAATCAACCAACCTGGGATATGTCAAAGATCAGGGAAGGTGGTAGTTTGCAGAGTCTATGGAAAGACTGGACAGATCTCAAGAAAAGGAACGTGCGCCAGAGTTAGGGACCTTCACCAAAAGCACTACTAATATTTTTTTTTTCCTTTAGGCCAGAAGAGACTGATAGCTCAAAGGTCTCACTGATTATGTCTGCAGTGGCATCATGTGGGAACACGTCTGCAGACAGCCAGCACCCATCCCCAATTAGAACTTGTAGGTCAAAATCAACATCTAAAAACTTCATCGAGATGTCTGCCAGTGGAGATTATGGATGATAGTTAGCACTTGGAAATACACCAGTTAATAAGTAGCAGGATATTCAGTAAAATGGATTAACGGAGCACTACAACATGCATGGGTTTACCAAACACAGTCAACATTAACTTAGCCTGTAGCGCTTCTACAGACTTTGGTATGTTCAGGAAAGAATGCCAACTACAGGCTACTCTGAAGTTTTGAATGCAATGGCAAATTCAAAGCAAGTGGTAAAGATAATGAGATGGTTGATCTTAAACCTTCATTTTGGCATTTCATGACCCAAGTGTTTAGACAGACAGCAGCTTTAAAAGTGTCCATTTAAATCTTTTATTGAGTAAACCTGAAAGGTCAGAGATCAGCAACTTCTTAGAGAAGTTTCTCTTTGGTGCACTTGTCCTACTGTGCATGGCCACCTCCCCCAGTTTGAGAGGGTGCCTTCCACAGCAGCAGAGAAAACTTTAGTGTCCAGTAGTAAAGTACAAGAATAAGCCGGGGGCTCCAGGATACATGCTTAAAAAATCTGGACTAGTTTCAGATTTAGTGGAACAGACTGCCCCCTGACACTTTCCCTTTACCCAAGCACACAATGGAAATGTTGATTTTAATGTCCTCCTCTAGTCAAGGAAGTAGAGAGGAGAGAGAAAAAAAAAAAGATGTTTCAAAACAATGCTTGGGGGCTTAAGCTTCACTGCCTTAAAAATAAGGGTATTCAGAATAAGCAAATATAGTAATCAACTATTTGGGGCCATCACCACAGACCACTTCCATTGAAGGAGATAATCTTGGGTTTTCTGAAGCTTTTGAAAAGAATGACCGAACCAATGGAGAAAAACAAGGTAGTCAAATCTTGAAGTCAACTACAGACATACACGGAGGTCCGTGCTAAGTAAGTTTAGCCTAACGTTATTGCAAATATTTCTAACTCGGTCACATGAAAATCAACTTCCTTTAGAACAGGCTTTACAAGGGAATAGAATCTACTGATCTGTTTCCACATTAAGTTGCAACTGTTAAATCCTGTGACAAACTACAGAAGGCCAGTGGAAAAGATGGGTTTGACCCAACAGGCTACTCCCATACCCAACCTAGTTCACATTCCTTTTGGCAAAAAGAGTTTCATAATGGAAAATACAGTAATCAGAAGTTTGGGATTTTTTAGACTGAATTCCCAGACATGCACACAAAGTTTTCTAGGATGGTTTACAGCTCCCCATGGGTGGAGGTGGGGGGGATGAGCTGCTTCTGTGTTCAGGTGCTGTATTGCCAGTCATCACCATAGTATTAGTGAATATGCCTGAATTTATAGCTGTTAGTTAGGCACACATGCATGCACCACTCTCTCATGTGGACGCCTAACAAGCTTAGCAGGGCCTCTGTGCATGCTTCATATAGGGAAATCTGAAATGCTCATAACTTGGTCAAAGCAAAACCAGTTTCCTTTCAGCTGAAGACATGCACTACTGCTACCTAATAAGGAACCCTTTCCACATCAAAGAGAAGCTTTCAAGTCTCAGCTGTTTTGATGTGAGATTAAATGCGCAACAAATTATTTAAAAAAAAAATTATTTTATATATATATATATATATATATAGAAAAAAGGACTTTTTCCATTTTCCAAGGCATTATTCAAATACTGGAGCTGTTTTTGCTCAAAAACTTTGCAACCTTCTATTTTGGGCATGGGACTTTTCACCCCAAAAAAGATATTGTTTTGCCAAGTTATGAAGAACAGGGTTGTATGCTGGCTCTTTTGTACAGCCTTAACTACAAATAGTCATTGCTATACAAGCTGTAATACATTGATGCTTTCAATACCTGTCTGAGATGCTAGAAGGCTTGTCCAGTATTAGAAAATGCTACTGAATCATGATATAGACCCAGGCCACTTGCTTTCTGCGCCCCTCTACACCACTTGTTCCATTACTTGAAAACATCACACCCTTGCAGTGAGCAAGATGGCATACCATCACTTCCTCACTAGGCTTCCTTGGGTAGGAATTCTGGATAAACACTGTAAGCAACTGGGTCTTTCATACACCAGTTTCTCCTCTGAAAATGTCCCCCTTCTTTAAAGAAAGAAAGATATGGTGTAAAAAGCTTGTATTAGTCATAATCGTTTTATCCTCTCTCAAAAGTATCATAAGCATGTTAGCTAATTGATTTTACCAGACCCCCATGGGGAGATAACCTAGCTCCTCAACTTGGAATTTATCCCACTATTTCCTGCTAGGCAAAACCTCCAAAAGTATTAATTGGATTAGATATAGTCTCAGTTAATGCAAGACATTTCTAATGTCACTATTTTCAGTCTTACGTAAGTGACTTTGGAAAGAAAAAAGCAAATGTCTCTTTTCTGATCATTTAGAAGTCAAAATTGAAGTCCCTTCCCTGAAACATAAAAACCAATCCCCTGCATGTTTTCAGTTTAACAGAGCTGCCAAACTGAAGGAGGGAATGCTTCCAGGGGCTCCTGGGCTTCATTTTGTGCCCTATGGTGCCTAATTCAAGTGTCAAATCTAACTTCTACTAGCAGGCAGGTGAAAATAAGCTACTGAACTTAGTTCTTTTGCAATGAAAGTTAGCAACATGGAAATAAATGTTGTCTTCTTCTGTAGCTTGAGAAATCAGAAGATACACAAATCTAGGAATTAATAGACAGTACTGTGATTCTGCACAGTTACTGTAAAAAGCCTAATATTTGGAGAGAAAGTGACTATTTAGATGGGACAAAGCTTTTCACAGCTTCATGAATTCTAGTCCTTACTTTCTCCCACTGCTCTGGTTCCTTAAATCAGTAATAGCATCATCATTTTTTTTTAAACAAGTGGCTTGGAGAACACTTACCGTCTGGGACTTCATCCGGCCTCTTCCTCTTCTCATAAACCACTATGATGACAACAAGGATGATGATTTCAGCCAGTATCCCCAAGAAGGGCCAAAGAGGGGCCAGATGGCTACGCACACGCAGAATGGTGATGACAGCATCGGTGCCAGCCTGGTTGGTTGCATTGCATTGATACTGGCCGGGATCTTCGGTTATGTCTAGGTTTATGATGCTCAGCTCCGTGTAGTTTTCTTTATTCGTAATGAAGAATCGGCCAGAGGAGTTGTTGATGTCCTGGTGTAAAAAAGAAAAAAGAAAAAGCTTTTAGTAACACCAAGTGTATCTTCTGCACTTAAAATGCAGATCTACTTTAAAACAAATGTAAAGAGATGGCACACTTACATACATGATGAAAGGATATTTTTGTATTGCTTATTTATTTATTTTTACTTCCACGTGCCCTGCAACACCAGTGCAGTTGTGATCATGTAAAAAGAACTGTTACATTCCAATTGCAACTCAAAGCAACATAACTGAAAAAGTGGAGCTGAGATGTAGAAGACCCTACTAACAATATACAGGGTGAGTCTGCCAGCAGGCAGATGTTTATCTGAAAGTCATGACTAATCTGCAGCCTCAAAGCCATTTGAGGGTGCAGCACACTTTAAAGCTAGCTATATCTGGACTTCAAACAGGGCTGTAGTTAAAAAAAAAAATGTTCTAACACTTTTTTGGTAGCACTTTTCCACCGAACTCAAGATAAAGACTCCATGAATAAACTTGTATTGCGACCTTTCCACCTTGCAAGGGAGTGCCCTAATCACCTGGACATAGGGTATTCTGAGGAGGGTTTTTTCAGTCCCTCCTGGTGCAGTTGCTTCTCTTGGTCTGAAAGTCACTGTGGCAGAGTAAGAATGATTAGTGTGATGGATTTGATTGTTATGACATTCATTAGGGTTTCAGATCTTTCTCCAGCAAGTGCTGGTTTAGGCAGACAGGGGAGAGGGGGAGAGAGTGTCAAAAGGTGAGCTTGAGAGACTTCACAGGACCACACAATCTGGTAGTTAGGGCAGACGAGAGAAGAGGAAACTGTAGGCCACTGAATGCTGTAACCAGTTTGCTGTTGGCTAAAAGCAGTGTGTCTTTATCCCCCTCTTCCTCCAACAACTTTTTTAGTTAGCTTTTATTTTCACTGCTTTATTGCAAGTCCTGGAGATGTTCCATTTCAAAAGTCAGATAAAACATTTAGTTTTGAACAGAATTTTTCAATGTTTAGTTTGGTGAGAAAAAATTCAAATCAGATTTTTTTTCAGGTTTTCATTTCGGCAGCCAACACTCTCACCTTCCCCTCCTCTCCAAGTTCAATTATTCTCACTTCCGTACCGAGCATCTTGTTTCAACCTAGCTCATAAAAACAAGGTCCTACTCAAGCCAGCTGCAGGTTCTCTAAACACTGAAATAACTGAGGCCAGGATCAAGAGGCACAGGCAGACCAGTGGGAAAAGGGCCCAGGTCAAAACATGGGGAACACCAGATGAGAACAGAGGCACCATGCTAACCTGCCTTTGACAACACTCATTTTGCTACATAGTAATTAATGAAGAAAAAGGACTTTCAGTCAAGGAGACTGTCATAATTCCTACTAGAAATTATGCATCATTTCTCCACTGATGAGCTAGTTTCTCAATCCCAGGCACATCACAGTAGGTAAAGACCAAGTAAAGGTCTTGGCCTTGCATTCCCCTCCTTGCCTGCCAACCCAACCTCTCATTAAATCTTCTGGCCCAGACATAAGTAGCTGCATGGAAAAATATGCATGTGTAGCAAACACTGTATGATCTTAGCCTGAATGAAGGTGACAGTAACAAATCTAATTTCATAAATCATATCAACAGTGGCAGGCATCATGGCAACCCCCCCAAAAACAAAACAAAACAAAACTGAACAACAAAAAACTGGCCATTTTATGCAGACAGCATTGGCTGAAAAGCTTTACCCAAGATGGAACAGTTTGTGTTCCAGCTTTTGCATCAACCGCAGCGCAGTAGTACAGAAAGTTCAGAGATGTTTCCTGGCTGCACTTGAGATTCTAGGATCCATTTTGCATTGTTATATAAAAGGTGAGTAACTAACCTTAATGGTAGTTTCTCAAAACTGACTGAATTATCATTTTGGGAAGTCAGTCTGCAAACTGAACAATGTACCTGGAGAACTTACTTTTAAGTTTCAAATAAAAAACAGCCAATACAATGCTGAAAATATCTCAGAAAACTGCCTTTCCTGTTTAAGTTGCCCAGTGCAAATTACACCATCTTTCCATGCTGTTAGCAGTTAATGTCTTTGTCATGCCCAGCAGCAAGTGCAATGAATAGCTTTTCTTCCACAAGAACGGAGGACAAACACCTATCAATATGCAGTCGCCAGCTATAGTGCAATGTAAGCAGGGTTGTTGCTATGGAAAAAAAGGTTTTGCTCTAGTTCACTGAACTTTCAAAGAAATTTACGAAAATAATCTTGATTTTTCAGAGTGCCCACAGGTAGTCAGTGGATAAGGATTCCAGGTTGCTTTCTAATGGGTATGTCAGGAGGCTAAATTCGGGTTCACTCACCTCAAACACATCATTGATCCTCTTGCGCCATATCCATTCAGGATGCGGGAAGCCCACAGACTTGCAATACATAACTGCTTCCTGTCCTTCATTTTTGTTCTCGCTTCGCTTGTGGCCAGTGATTTCAGGAGCAGCTACAAAACACAAACAGAAGCTCTGCATTTACAACCTACTCTTTGAATGCGACCATCTCATGTTCCAGTGCCTCAAACAGAAATTTAAACCTACAAAATCTCCAACACCAGGCACCTGCCTTTCCAGACCGAGCAGAACTTGCACAGTGAGAACAATCCCCATATCTTTTGACCCCATAACAAAAGAAGAACAGGGATAATATGCAGGCTTTTAGGTATTTCTTGCCAGAAGTGTACGTGTAGGGCCCAACTGAATTCATGGCGAAAGTGGACTGCACTGTGGCTCCTTTAATCCCTGCTGCTGACTGGTAGAGGGGGGCCCACTTGACTCCCTGAGTGGCGAGGAAGCAAAACCCGTGGTTTTAAACATGGCACTTTGTTCCCCTCCAGCCGCTCACTGACTGAGGGGCCCTGGTGGCCCCGCTGCTTGCTTCCGACTGGCAGGGAGGCAAAGAAACTGTGCCATGTTTAAAACCACGGTTTTTGCTTCCCTGCCGATCAGGAGCAAGCTGCAAGTGGGCCCCCTCCATCAGTCAGCGGTGGGAAGGAGGGATGTGTCGGGGGAACCTGCAAGATTAGAAGAGCAGCAACGCAGCCCATTTCTGCCATGAATTCAGTAGGGCCCTATGTATGTGTGGAGGGAGAAGCAAACGAAGAGGTTCAGTGTTGAGGACTCCTCACAAGAGTCATTCTCCAGCTAGTCCTTCTTCTCTGCCAATTTAGGGGCTTGCCAGCAAAGTAAGGTAGCTACTCTAGTGATACCTGCTTCACAAGTGAGGGCTTGTTACTCTGTAACAGGGCTGGATTAGAAGTCTTTCCTGCATCTCAAGGCTCTCCCAGCCATCCTATTTGGGAGCTCACAGAGCAGAGGGATGAATACACACAATAGGGCCCTTCTCCCAGATCATGTGATGCATGTGTTTGCTAATAGGGTTGTGGCTATTCACTTTGCCAGTTTTGCCTCTGCAGCCTGTCACAGCATAATGCCTCATGAGAGATTATGGTGGATCAATGGGCTGCCTGAGCTGAACCTTCACTTCGCAGCTGGCATAGTGTGCTGCAGTGACCACCACCTTTAAAACCCATTCGCTTTCTAGCCTGCTAATTTTGTCACACGTGGCCTGCTATGTGACCACTGGACACTGATCTGTTAATCCAGTTTAAGTCCAATGTGAGAGCTCCAACAGAACCCAGACAAAGTTTTTCCAGAGACCTTTCAAATACAAAAGCTTCCTTTGCATCTCAAGTTTACGCAAAGAAAGGCAGTGACAATCATTTCTACTGAGAAGAGGATTAAAAAGTTGGCTTTTCTTATAGCACAGGTACAACTGGAAGCGAGTTTGAGGAACTAGACAAAAATATAATATCTGGGTCAGTCACAGCAAATGGAATAAGCACTGCCTCCAAAAGTGTTGGACACAAGGGCCTTTGCTAGCAAACATAACTATGCTGCAACTTATTATGAATGTTCTTGTTAGCCAGAACTAGCAGCCAGTGGAGCTCCCATGATCTCAACAGGAACAGCTATTTTACATTAAAGGGGAAGGTGGGTGTTAAAGAGCATTTAAAGTATGTGAAAAAGCGTATGAATTTCTCAAGCAGTTATTTTCTGAAGGTCAAGCAACAATTGTAACACAGTATTGCTTTAAAGTAGGCTTAGGCTAGATTGATGAACTCCAGGATAGGTGGGCATTGCAACACCCAAACCTGCCTCATTCAAGGGAAGAAACTAGCTGATTATCAGTTCAAGAACAGCATTTCAGATCCACATTCCCATCCAGACAGGTTTTTGATCATTCACTGGTACGCCCTTATGTGGCATGTAGCAATACTTTATAAACAGTAAACCTAGGATCTAGATGAGCTTAGCAAAGATCCTAGACAGAAAGATGCAGACAGACCACAAACCATGTCACTGGTCAAGGCCACAAAGTGAATTCAGTGGCAGAACCAGTTTAGGCTGCAAGAGTCCGACTTCCAGGCTCAGTCTAAGCCACAAAAACAAGAACGAAGCAAGGCTCTTACTGTACAGAACTGGTTTAGCACATCAATACACACTGGATACTACCCAGAGGAGGTAGTGCTAACCTCAAAGCAGATCACTAACAAACACTGACCACTAGAGAATTTTCCAATTTTAATGGTAGGTTCTGACATTTGGGGAAAAAAATCCTTTAAGTAGTGTTTTTTTCCCCCCTTTTCTTGTTTTGATTTTACAGTATCTTTTTACCAAAGAAGCCCAATTAAAAAGGAAATGCCATAAAACAGTTTATGACCACATGATACTGGGCTCTTCAAAGGTCAAACAAGATCCAGTAGCTGGCAATGGAAGCAGGACAAATTTAGCCTAGAAATAAGACATTTTAAAGATAGGACTATTAACTACTGGAACCACTTACCAACGGTTGTGGTAGATTTGCCATCACTGACATTTTTAAACTCAAGATTGGATGGTTTTCCCTCCCTAAAAGATGTTCTAGCTCAGACAAGAACTGGGTGACGTCCTGGAGTCCATACTACAGAGGAGGTCTGGCTATATTAGTTCTAATGGTCTCTTCTAGAGTTGCATTCAAAGTATATGTTTTGACCCCATGTTTCAAAGGACTGTTTTAACCCCATGTTATAGATTTTAGAGGATAGTTATTTCTGGCAGGCAAAGTTCCAAAAACAAATGGACTTTTTTTTTTTCAGTGGAGGGTCTTTAAGAGATCAGTAAAATCTGCTTGAGAGTTAGTGTTCTGCTGTATGCAAGGACCAGGCTCCATCTGCAGCCTCCATCCCTGGAGATAGTCCACAGCCTACAACCTCAAACAGAGACAAGGCATTTGGACAACAGGACATCAGATCTTGCAGGAAGAAGGGACTTCCATCGTCTGCTCTGAAAGATGGTAAGCACAACGCAAGAGCCTGTGACACAGGCCCTTAACTGTTATGAAGGCCACTTCTCCATTAAATTTGGGAAACAGCCATGGGGTAATAGGAGATAAGTAACCATAGTGAGCCCAAGAGACTTATCTTGTGCATTTTGCATTGGTTTAGGATGTGCTATGCATGGATTAGGTCCCATTTTATGGAACACAACAGGCAGGGGCTGGGGAGCAGAAAAGACAGATGACCAGGCAGCAAGGTGACAGTCCCAAAGCTGACATCACAGGATTAAATCAAGAGGGACTGTAAATTACTCCCATTAGGAAAAAGAGAAAAAGGATTCATCGGCTTAAACTGCAGCCTCACACAGTCTCCATCTGTCAGCACAGTTTTCAATGCCATAGATCAGCAGAGAGAAGCAGCAGAGCCTTGCAGAGGAGGAAGGTGAAGTAAATCAGCACTGCTAACGCTGGCCCACTTTTACTCCACCAGCAACCTGTGAGGAAAAAAAAAACGGGGCTGGGGAGAAGCTTTCTAGGACACCATCATGCCAGCTGCAGGGTGACCTAGCATTCTCCTAGAGTCAGGAGATAATTACAGTCCTTTAAGGAGAGGACAACTTTGCTGGGTTATCCCAAAGAGAGCCTAAGTGACAAGAATACATTCTGCTTTCTTCATTGCTAGGCATAGTTATGCAGCAGTCATTTCCAATTCCAGCAGGGCCTTGACTATTTCTAGCATGCAGTCTGATGGGAGCGTTGTGTGGAATATTAATAATCTAGAGCTTCCTAATGCTAGCTGGTGTCATGAATGGCTGAGATGTTAGCCTGATATTTATTTTGCTAACCTTCTGACCAGCTGTCAGTGCGTTTCACCATGCCTATTGCAATGAACATCAGAGACCAGCCTGGCTGACTTGGGTCAGCAAATCAGAAATAGGAAAATATCCTCCTCTAATATAGTCTTTCTGGCTAAGGGAATTTTTATACAGTTCTGGTCCAGGGCCAGCAGAGCAAGGGAGAGGTTTGGTAAGCACGGAGTGAAACAGCTTCTGTTCATACGTGATTTAGTTTTCATTTAAGCCAAGCAGCAGTGTTTAGCACACTGGAAGCCAGGAACTCCTAAACTTGGAACCCAGCTGTAACCCCAATTTGCTGGGTACCTGCGGATGAGCTGTACGCAGCATCAGCCACCTTCCCAGTAAAAATGGACTAAAGCTTTTTCCTCTGCATTACCTCACCACCTTGCAGGAAAATAATTCATTTTTTATAAAATACCATTATTTATGCATTTTTTTTCCTTCAGTGTCTGCTATAAAAAGAGGAAAATACTGTATCTCGATCCAATAGACCTCTCTGAAATGAAGTCTAGGAGAGCAACAAAAACCAGTCCATGTCATAATTAGATTTCAATTTAATATTACATTTTGGCTAAACTTAATTCGTTACATTCTAAACCAAGAGAGACATTCTTCATATAAGCAATGTTTTTCCTGCTGCAGGTAAGAAACCTGTTCATTTACAGCGTAGTGTGGAATGTAACACTGCATCCAATGAAAGAGAAACAGTTTTTTCCTGCAGAAGATCACATTAAGCAGGGACGAACTTCTTTACCACCCTCACATCTTCAAGCAGACTATGTAAACCACCACAGAAGATACTGTACCAGTCAGCTGAAATGGGAAGTCTGCAGAGCACTCCTGAAAGGATTTCCTTTTGAACATGACATACAGTGCTGCTTCTGACTTCAAGGAGGGATTTGTCCCATTGCTTCCAGTGGAAACAAAAGAAAGCAGCATGGCAGAATTGGATGTATATCAACAAATGTCATGCAGAATAGGTCAGAACCGTACCGCAATTTCTATAGCCCTTTGCAACATTCCCATTAAAAATACTTACTAGGAAGAGTAGAAGTGGGTCAAAACATTCTTGCATATATCAAATTTTAACTATCTAAAAGGAGCATTTATGTATGAGATCTCAGGAGGATGAGTTGGTAGGTTAGAAGAGTTCATTTGGCTTCTCTGCACTTCGCCAAGGGTATAGTACTACACTGAAAGAGTAAATGCAAAGGATGCCCCTGGTAACACACTTTAGAGCCTGGTATGGAGAGTCCTTTTACAGAGTATGACC